GTAGGCCGTAGTGCCGCTGTCCGGGCAAAATTTCCCTCATCGCACAGTGTATGGCGTCTGCCCGTCTTCATTAGCCCAGTTCCAAGCAGAACAGAAGGACGTTAAACCCCATTTCATTTCTTTTCATTTCTTGAAACTAGTTGGGAAGCCCCCCGGTCCCTACCCCATGCCCCCGGCTCCTTCAGCTATGGCTACGAGCATGATTTGCTACTATATTATCTTAGCCCGCTGCCACCGCTGCTTAATATTGAGCGACTTGTTTATTCGACTGAATTATTCGACTGAACTATTCGACTGGTTTATTCGACTGAACTTTTCGACTGAATTATTCGACTGGTTTATTCGACTGGATTATTCGACTGAACTAACTGACTGATTTTATCGACTGGACGAGGCCACATGAAAATGTCAAATACCTCATCCCCCCCACCCCCGCCCCACCCCATCCGTTTCTTCGTTTATATCATATATAGGGACTCTATTCTTTTCGAGGCGGACAAGGACAGCTGTCTAGTCTTTCGGATGGGACGAAAAACCGAGGTCCCGTGTCTACATTGGAGTGGACGTAAAAGATCCCTTTGACAGATGGAATTCGATATAAGAGTAGGCCGTAGTGCCGCTGTCCGGGCAAAATTTCCCTCATCGCACAGTGTATGGCGTCTGCCCGTCTTCATTAGCCCAGTTCCAAGCAGAACAGAAGGACGTTAAACCCCATTTCATTTCTTTTCATTTCTTGAAACTAGTTGGGAAGCCCCCCGGTCCCTACCCCATGCCCCCGGCTCCTTCAGCTATGGCTACGAGCATGATTTGCTACTATATTATCTTAGCCCGCTGCCACCGCTGCTTAATATTGAGCGACTTGTTTATTCGACTGAATTATTCGACTGGATTATTCGACTGAATTATTCGACTGAACTATTCGACTGGTTTATTCGACTGAACTTTTCGACTGAATTATTCGACTGGTTTATTCGACTGGATTATTCGACTGAACTAACTGACTGATTTTATCGACTGGACGAGGCCACATGAAAATGTCAAATACCTCATCCCCCCCACCCCATCCGTTTCTTCGTTTATATCATATATAGGGACTCTATTCTTTTCGAGGCGGACAAGGACAGCTGTCTAGTCTTTCGGATGGGACGAAAAACCGAGGTCCCGTGTCTACATTGGAGTGGACGTAAAAGATCCCTTTGACAGATGGAATTCGATATAAGAGTAGGCCGTAGTGCCGCTGTCCGGGCAAAATTTCCCTCATCGCACAGTGTATGGCGTCTGCCCGTCTTCATTAGCCCAGTTCCAAGCAGAACAGAAGGACGTTAAACCCCATTTCATTTCTTTTCATTTCTTGAAACTAGTTGGGAAGCCCCCCGGTCCCTACCCCATGCCCCCGGCTCCTTCAGCTATGGCTACGAGCATGATTTGCTACTATATTATCTTAGCCCGCTGCCACCGCTGCTTAATATTGAGCGACTTGTTTATTCGACTGAATTATTCGACTGAACTATTCGACTGGTTTATTCGACTGAACTTTTCGACTGAATTATTCGACTGGTTTATTCGACTGGATTATTCGACTGAACTAACTGACTGATTTTATCGACTGGACGAGGCCACATGAAAATGTCAAATACCTCATCCCCCCCCACCCCCGCCCCACCCCATCCGTTTCTTCGTTTATATCATATATAGGGACTCTATTCTTTTCGAGGCGAACAAGGACAGCTGTCTAGTCTTTCGGATGGGACGAAAAACCGAGGTCCCGTGTCTACATTGGAGTGGACGTAAAAGATCCCTTTGACAGATGGAATTCGATATAAGAGTAGGCCGTAGTGCCGCTGTCCGGGCAAAATTTCCCTCATCGCACAGTGTATGGCGTCTGCCCGTCTTCATTAGCCCAGTTCCAAGCAGAACAGTAGGACGTTAAAACCCCATTTCATTTCTTTTCATTTCTTGAAACTAGTTGGGAAGCCCCCCGGTCACTACCCCATGCCCCCGGCTCCTTCAGCTATGGCTACGAGCATGATTTGCTACTATATTATCTTAGCCCGCTGCCACCGCTGCTTAATATTGAGCGACTTGTTTATTCGACTGAATTATTCGACTGGATTATTCGACTGAATTATTCGACTGAACTATTCGACTGGTTTATTCGACTGAACTTTTCGACTGAATTATTCGACTGGTTTATTCGACTGGATTATTCGACTGAACTAACTGACTGGTTTTATCGACTGGAGGAGGCCACATGACAATGTCAAATACCTCATCCCCCCCACCCCCGCCCCACCCCATCCCCTTTCTTCGTTCATATCATATATAGGGACTCTATTCTTTTCGAGGCGGACAAGGACAGCTGTCTAGTCTTTCGGATGGGACGAAAAACCGAGGTCCCGTGTCTACATTGGAGTGGACGTAAAAGATCCCTTTGACAGATGGAATTCGATATAAGAGTAGGCCGTAGTGCCGCTGTCCGGGCAAAATTTCCCTCATCGCACAGTTTATGGCGTCTGCCCGTCTTCATTAGCCCAGTTCCAAGCAGAACAGAAGGACGTTAAACCCCATTTCATTTCTTGAAACTAGTTGGGAAGCCCCCCGGTCCCTACCCCATGCCCCGGCTCCTTCAGCTATGGCTACGAGCATGATTTGCTACTATATTATCTTAGCCCGCTGCCACCGCTGCTTAATATTGAGCGACTTGTTTATTCGACTGAATTATTCGACTGGATTATTCGACTGAATTATTCGACTGAACTATTCGACTGGTTTATTCGACTGAACTTTTCGACTGAATTATTCGACTGGTTTATTCGACTGGATTATTCGACTGAACTAACTGACTGGTTTTATCGACTGGACGAGGCCACATGAAAATGTCAAATACCTCATCCCCCACCCCACCCCATCCCCTTTTTACGTTCATATCATATATAGGGACTCTATTCTTTTCGAGGCGTACAAGTACAGCTGTCTGGTCGTTCGGATGGGACGAAAAACCGAGGTCCCGTGTATATATTGGAGTGGACGTAAAAGATCCCTTGACAGATGGAATTCGATAAAAGAGTAGGCCGTAGTGCCGCTGTCCGGGCAAAATTTCCATCATAGCACAGTGTATGGCGTATGCCCGTCTTCATTAGCCCAGTTCCAAGCAGAACAGAAGGACGTTGAACCCCCATTTCATTTCTTTTCATTTCTTGAAACTAGTTGGGAAGCCCCCCGGTCCCTACCCCATGCCCCGGCTCCTTCAGCTATGTCTACGAGCATGATTTGCTACCATATTATCTTAGCCCGCTGCTTAATATTGAGCGACTTGTTTATTCGACTGAATTATTCGACTGAAGTATTCGACTGGTTTATTCGACTGAACTTTTCGACTGAATTATTCGACTGGTTTATTCGACTGGATTATTCGACTGAACTAACTGACTGGTTTTATCGACTGGACGAGGCCACATGAAAATGTCAAATACCTCATCCCCCGCCCCACCCCATCCCCTTTCTACGTTCATATCATATATAGGGACTCTATTCTTTTCGAGGCGGACAAGTACAGCTGTCTGGTCGTTCGGATGGGACGAAAAACCGAGGTCCCGTGTATATATTGGAGTGGACGTAAAAGATCCCTTGACAGATGGAATTCGATAAAAGAGTAGGCCGTAGTGCCGCTGTCCGGGCAAAATTTCCATCATAGCACAGTGTATGGCGTATGCCCGTCTTCATTAGCCCAGTTCCAAGCAGAACAGAAGGACGTTGAACCCCCATTTCATTTCTTTTCATTTCTTGAAACTAGTTGGGAAGCCCCCCGGTCCCTACCCCATGCCCCGGCTCCTTCAGCTATGTCTACGAGCATGATTTGCTACCATATTATCTTAGCCCGCTGCTTAATATTGAGCGACTTGTTTATTCGACTGAATTATTCGACTGAACTATTCGACTGGTTTATTCGACTGAATTATTCGACTGGTTTATTCGACTGGATTATTCGACTGAACTAACTGACTGGTTTTATCGACTGGACGAGGCCACATGAAAATGTCAAATACCTTATCCCCCCCACCCCCGCCCCACCCCATCCCCTTTCTTCGTTCATATCATATATAGGGACTCTATTCTTTTCGAGGCGGACAAGGACAGCTGTCTAGTCTTTCGGATGGGACGAAAAACCGAGGTCCCGTGTATACATTGGAGTGGACGTAAAAGATCCCTTTGACAGATGGAATTCGATATAAGAGTAAGCCGTAGTGCCGCTGTCCGGGCAAAATTTCCCTCATCGCACAGTGTATGGCGTATGCCCGTCTTCATTAGCCCAGTTCTAAGCAGAACAAAAGGACGTTGAACCCCCATTTCATTTCTTTTCATTTCTTGAAATTAGTTGGGAAGCCCCCCGGTCCCTACCCCATGCCCCCGGCTCCTTCAGCTATGGCTACGAGCATGATTTGCTACTATATTATCTTAGCCCGCTGCCACCGCTGCTTAATATTGAGCGACTTGTTTATTCGACTGAAGTATTGGACTGAACTTTTCGACTGGTTTATTCGACTGGATTATTCGACTGAACTAACTGATTGATTTTATCGACTGGGCGAGGCCACATGAAAATGTCAAATACTGAAGCGACTAGATACTATGCTGTCATCAGTTTTATGCATCGGACACAGACTTAATTCAAGTTGTTTATATTAGTACGGCCATTGTTTTCAGTTGATGACGTCAGTCGTTGACCCTTAACCCTAGATGACGACCTTACTCGCAAAGAGAGGTCAACACGTTGTTTAGGGTATTGCTATTGGAAGGAAAATCTCAATAAAATTGTGACTTCAACTGTCAGATTTGAACTTGGGGGAAAATAATCAAAATAGACAAAAAACGATGTAATCATATTTGAGTTAGTGCGTTTTTTATTTCAGTCAAACAAACTATTCCCAAATTTTAGCCCAACCATCGACCGAGTTTGTTGACTGGAAATTCTAGTGTTACTTAGGGGTAATTGATAAAAATGGCATTTGGAAATAATAACTGGTCAACCGTAGGCAAACAACATGTCTTCCGACGAGAAAGATCTTACACGTGTTGGACATTCAAAGTTTGTTTGTTCGACTCCAGGGTGCGATAAAACCTTTGGAAGAAGATCAAGGTTTTTGGTACATTTAAGGACACATACTGGCGAGGTAGCGACCTTGTCACTTTAGAATATACCATTTTAGACTAAGTTATGACAAGGTTCACTTGTCACAGTCCGTGCATAATGCATTCAGCATTGGTTGATTGATTGACAAGAGTTCAGTCAATCAATGTCAGTTTGGCCTGAACTGTCCCTTCAATCTTAAAGTTAATTTGAATTTACATTCCTGAAACAATATTGAACGTAAGTGCCGGCCATTGATTATCGTAATGTTTTCACAACAGTGTCCCAAGTTACAAAATAAGGAAAAGCCAGTCTCTGAGTCTGCAGAGAATGTCCGGTGCACACGCGAGTAATTTTTTTCAGAGATTGGTGCACTCAAATTTTCTTTAGATTTGCACGCCAGTTTGGCACGATATTTTTACCTTGCACGCACGCAGCGACTTTACTTTATAATCATTTATTCCCGTATATGGTAGTTGTCGATCTGCATTCGATAATAACGATAATACCCGACATGCAAGGGAGACAACTACCACAATAGTAAGTAGTGAAGTAACTCAGTGTGCAAGGCAAATTGACCCGATCGAGTTGCGCTATAATTTTGAATTTTAGTGGTACTTTTTTTAAATTACATGCCAGACAGAAATAGCATAATTTATCACTCGTGGATTTATCTCCTTCACGCTTGAAGTGTTAGGTTGCATGCTGGAATTTAGTAAGGATTTTCATTGCACGCATGAGATCTCGTGGAAATCAGACATACTCTGCAGACTGGAGGAAAAGTGTTTTAGACTCCGACGTTGGCACACCACACTAAAAAAAGAACCTTTTGTTGACAATTGGAATTACAAATAGGCGTAAGCCTTACTACCATGGTCTGGGCAAGTTTCCCTTCATAGCAGACTACATGGGTTAAGAAGAGGCAGATATGCCATGTCTAGGACTAGGCAAATATCCCCCCATCACAATCTGCATGGTGTATGCCGAGCCTCGTCTTTATTAGCCTGGTTGGTGCATAAAAAGTAGAAAATATGCTGTGGATATTGATCCGAGTACAACAGATCCTTATCTCAAATTGCTATTTGTCCGACGAACATGCACAGTATTTATCTTTGCCTTTAATGAGTTCTGGTTTTGATTAATTTATACCTATTTGTTGTTTCTATCTTTCAGAAGCCGTTTATATGTGAAGAACCCGGATGTGACAAAGCCTACGCAAGAGCTCAACATCTGAAACGTCATGAACAACTTTCGCATTCTCCTAAAAAACCACCAGTTACTGTTCAACAGTTTGTGTACGTAGAAAATCTCAAAATGACGGAAGTGTTGTGTTGACAAGTATGGTATTCCATACTTCCAACTTTCGGTGTAATGTCTGCAATGTATTAAATAGATATACAGCTCTATATGAGTTCTGTATTGCACATATGATATAACATATCAATATTGGGGGATTGGCTGGCCAAATGGTCTAAAGCATGTGTTTTATATCCTAAGGTATGTCATTGAATCAAGTGGTGTGGTTTCGATCCCACAGTGGTACGTAGCAAGGATTAGGGATGTCTGCCTAACCTCATGGGTTTTTCTCTGTTTTTTTTTACCTTACAAGCGAATTATTGAATATTTCTCTCTCTCTCTGATTGTTCAATACAACCTATTTATTTTCTGGGTGATTGTTATAATAAACTATTTATTTTCTAGATGTACACTGTAATAAACTGTTTGCTTGTTTTCTAGATGTTCTCTGTCTGATTGTGATAATAAACCGTTTTCTAACGAGTGTAACTTGAAGAGGCATATTAAAACTGTTCATGGTAAACAATTTAAGGTTTGTATAAAAGTTAAACATTTCTCAACCTCCAAAGATATTGTTTCCTAATCTTTAATGGTGGCCAAGAAAAAAATTTGGATCTTTCACCCACTTGTCAGGGGCATCACTAACTGGGTTGTCAATAAATGTGTTACGTAGTCTTTTGATTGGGACAGAAATCTGAGGTGAGTCTGTGGTGACGGACAGAGCAACCTTACATCTAAAAAAGCTTCTATTCATTGGAATGGGATGAAAAAGAAATGAAGTAATATCAGCAATGTTTCCTGCATAGCACAGTTAGTGCAGAAAAGTAGGGTGTTAAACCCCATTTCATTTTATTCATTTTTTTATTCATATAGTATAGATGTACTGTGGATGGATGTAAGAAAAAATTTGCTAAAGAACATCAACTAACACGCCATGAATTACAACATAAAAACACCAACCCTTATCTGTAAGTTTTCATTTTTAATAATAGATCTATTCCCTACGAAACTTGTACTTCCTGTCAGCAATTATTGCCGCTTGTGAACAAACACTAAGCAGGTTGACTGACATTTTAATCCAACAACTTTAGACGAAAACACTAAGAATATTTCAATATGTTTGAGAAGTATTTATTCTCCTTCCTTTTATTAAAATTGAACATTTTTAATAGTCTTTGTGTGTATGACAGATGTGAAACAGAGTAGAACCCCATTAGAATTGACAGTGACTTGGTAACCTGGAGGTTATACATGTACATTTATACAAAATCTTCACTTTTTGCAGATATACGATTAAAGAAAAAAAAAACATAACTGACGTTTGAATTTGTTTATTTATTTAGTTTTATTTGTCATGTAGATCTAGGTTTTAGTATCGACTTAAAGTCCTGATGCGCCAGTAAGCAATAAGCATGACTTACAACCTGCCATATTGCGAAATATAAGTCTGTAATAGGAATATCAGTCCAAAACTATGCGGAATTAAAATTTCATTGATTTAAGCTACTCACTATACGAAAAACCGGCCGCCATTCTGATGTCTGTGAAATTTTAACGATTGAATTTAAGTCGGGACATTAACTAGCTTTGGTATTTTGATTTTGTTTACTTAATTAAATGATAAATAAGGCTTGAGAAATTTGATATTTGGGCTTCAAATGCCAATAACACCTTGTTACCCTTACCATAAACTCTTTATTCTTTTATCTTTTAGATGTACGTTTGAAGGCTGTGATTATTCATGTAAAATAGCTCATCAGTTAAAACGTCACTCGAAAATACACGAAGGTTTGTTTATATTTTTTACAGCATTGTAAGACTGAGATAGTATGGAGGGCTCAAAGGGGGTGGGTGTCTACAGGAATAACACCAGGGGTGGACTGAGATAGTATGGATGGCTCGAAAGGTGGGGCGGGGGGTCTCTAAAGGAATAACACCAGTGGTGGACTGAGATAGTATGGATGTCTCTAAATGAATAACACCAGGGGTGAACTGAGATAGTATGGATGGCTCGGAGGGGGTTCTCTTTAAGAAATGACACCAAGAGAGGACAGAGGAGGAGTCTATATATAATGGCAAATGCTCCTTCATAACATACTGTATGGCATGTTTTTGTTAGCCCCATTGATGCTGAAAAGTAGGACGATAAACCCCCATTCCATTTCTTATTCCATTAGGGCTGCTTTGTTGCCCTAAATTGTTGGGTTGACCTGATTTTCAATGTTTCTAACCTGCAGCAGCTTTGACCAAGAAAGTTCATCATAATTTTCAGGCATGGTTTTTCCCTAGTCAGTGATGCAGGATGGAGGGCCTGAGAAGGACATCTATATAGTCATTCGGATGTTACGAATTGGCGTGCACGTAAAAGATTCCCTGACAGTTGAAATTCGATATAAGAGTTAGGCAAAATTTCCCTCATAGCACACTGTATGGTGTATGCCCATCTTCATTAGCCCAGTCAGAGCAGAACAGTAGGATGTTAAACCCCCATTTCATTTTCATTAACAGCTTGTATTTGGTATAACACATGATACAATTATGTGGAATAGAAGTTGCTTAGAAGTTTATTAATGATAGAATAACACATGACAAAATTATATGTAATACAGTAAGTTAGCTTGTATTTGTTTAGATTATTATAATATTTCTAACCATGTTTCGCAGCTTGTATTTGTTTATTCTAGGTTATAAATGTACAGAAGAGGGATGTGATGTAACTGTAGAAACATGGACTCAGCTTCGTAAACATAAATTAATATGCCATCCTAGAGGTAAACTATGTTCATATTATCACAGAGGTTAACTATATTAATATTATCATAGAGGCTCACTATATTAATATTATCATAAAGGCTCACTACATTAATATTTAATCCTAGAGGTTAACTATATTAATATTATCATAGAGGCTCACTATATTAATATATAATCCTAGAGGTTAACTATATTAATATATCATCCTAGATGTTAACTATATTCATACCCTAGAGGTTAATTATATTAATATACCTTTCTAGAGGCTTGCTATATTAATATACCTTTCTAGAGGCTAACTATATTAATATAAAATTCTAGAGATGACTATAGTAATATACCATCTTTCAGGTAAACTATATTAATATATTATCCTTCGGGTAAACTATATTGATATACCATTCTTCGGGTAAACTATATTAATATATCATCCAGTTGTTCAATACTCCTTTAACTTATAAGGACTCGTTAACAGAGAGAAAGTCTGTTGCTGGAAGCCTCGTTCACTTTAACATGTTGTCAACTTGCCGTTACATTTAGCGAAAGTTTTGGGCTCCGTTATTTCTTTATTTGTCAGTCGAAGTAAGCCTTTAGCAAAAGTTGTTATAGATTAGCTGTGTAGTTTTCTATAGAACATTCTAGAGGGTTGCGGGGGGCTATCCCATCTTCTATAGGATGTAATGCTATAGTCTTCTACAGAATTTATGGGACCTGTACAAATTAACGACCCCAAATATTCTACAGTTTCTGTTAAGCAAATCCTATAATTTTTCCTACAGATTTATGCTAAAATTTCTATAGGAAAATACTAGAGTATTCTATAGATTTTTTTATAGTGTTTTCTGTAGTAAATTCTACAGTTATTATTTTGTCTCTGAACACTTTGGGTTTGGATGGCCGAATGGTTAGCACGTGTACGCTGTATAATAAGGTCTGTCATTGACCTTGTACGTGACAAGGATTAGGGACGTATGTTTGTGTCGAGTGAACGTTAAACCCCATTTCCCTCTCTCTCTAATCAAGTTGTCCCACTTTCTTGAGTTTCTTGTTAATACTAACTTCTATTAGGTTGCTATACATGTACATTGAATTAAAAATTTTAAAATTCAGACAATGTCAGAATCATCAGATAATTCAACTATAAAATCATTATTCCTCTGTACTTTATTATCAAAATTTCTTCTTTGGTTAAAAAAAACCAAATAAAGAGCCAAATTGGCCACAGAAAAATTATTTCACATACTACCATATGCTCTATAGAAAACAAACTCATCTTCATAATTTTGAATTGCACTACAATAACTTTGAAATGAAGATAAGTATTAAATTATTCATGTCATATTTCTCACATTTATCAGTTCTAGACCATCTCTTGCAGCATTACTAAATGCAGAATTGTGATGTAAATTCTAATATCGAATAACAAGCTAACTTCACGCGGACACAGCGCCCCCCCCCCCTTAATTATATGAGTACTTCTTAAAATTTTATTACCTTACCACTGGGCACCATTCATGCCCTCCCGAGTCCTGAACAGGAATGATTTTTTCTTTGACTGACTGTCTGATAAGGAGCAGATTCAGGCCCATGGCTTTGTGAAAGAGGGGATCCACTGCCATTTTAAAGGGCCTACAGACGCCGGACCTCAGCTTGTTTCGAACATCGATCCCTTCACAATTGAAATTCAAAGATGTGTAGACAGAACTACAACTATCGCTCCCGGGGCAAAATTTCCCATAAAGCCATGCAGTTCATGTGTAACTGTAGAAATGACCATAGTATTGTGTTGACACCCCCATAAAACTCCATGTATCGTTTTGATTTGACCTTTTAATTTTTGCAATATTGTCTATAATTTCAGTATTTTCACGATTTTCTCTATTGTCACTATTTCTCATTTATCTATGTTTTCTATATTTTCAGTATATGAGTGTCCACAATGTAATAAATGTTATAAGAAGAAGATTCAGTTAAAACGTCACAGTTTTATTCACAGTTCTGAGCAACCGTTATACTCGTGTGATCGCGACGGTTGTGAACGAGTTTATCTAGATCTACGCAATTTAAAAGCCCACATTAGATCGTATCACGATCAACAGAGACTGACGTGTCATCATGATGGGTGTAGTCAGACGTTCGTTAATAAGGTGAGACAAATGAAATGGGGTTTAATGACCTACTTTTCAACATTGATTGGGCTAAAAGGCGTGGTTTCCCCTTGTCAGTAATGCAGGATGGAGGGCCTGAAATGGGTTTTAATGACCTACTTTTCAACATTGATTGGGCTAAAAGGCGTGGTTTCCCCTTGTCAGTGATGCAGGATGGAGGGCCTGACAAGGACAGCTGTCTAGTCATTCGGATGAGACAAAAAAACGAGGTCCCGTGTACACATTGGCGTGCACATAAAAGATCCCTTGACAGTTGGAATTCGATATAAGAGTAGGCCGTAGTGTCACTGTCCGGGCAAAATTTTCCTCATAGCACACTGTATGGCGTATGCCCGTCTTCATTAGCCTAGTTCGGAGCAAAACAGTAGGACGTTAAACCCCATTTCATTTTCAAAGATGGGCATATGCCATGCAATGTGCTATGAGGTAAATTTATCTTGGACAGCGGCACTACGACCTACACTTATTTCTAATTTCAACTGTCAAGGGTTCTATTATGTGCACACCAATGTGTATACAGGAACTCTGTTTGTTGTTTTCGTCAAATCCAAATGTCTATAAATATTGTCCCTTGCCAGTTTCGCTGTCCTGCACCACTGAAAAGGGGGAACCACACCGGAAAATTTCAGTGAGTTTTTGGGCCAACACTGTGATGAAACACAAGACCTCAGGGATAGCGAGCCAATGTCTTGTTCACCGATCCACCGCGACTCCCAAGGTGAGACAAACAAATGATCAGATATATAATGTACAAGATTTTGGCCAGTGGGCTATTAGTGAGCGCCCTGGTAATCATTCGCCCATTTTTTTCATAAAAGTGAGACGTTAAACCACAGTTGTTTTTTTTTCCCCCCTTCTCTACCCTATTCATACAAATTTCTTAGTAAACATTTGCCGGCAAAATCACCCTTAGTCGAAGCGAATGTTAAACAGAGTTATACAACATTTGATTATTAGTGCTTTATAAAAAGATAAAAGTGCAAGAAATTAATGTTTGTCAACTATTTTGGGATTGACATGGCGTGCATACAACCCCACGGTCTCCTATCAGCAGTATTTGGCAGCTAGGAGCCACGATGGCTCAGTGAGTAAGACACTGGCTTGCTAGCCTGGAGGTCGCGGGTTCACTCCCAGTGTTGGCCGAGAAAGTGCAACAGGATTTTCCGGCATGGTGCAAGACGGAAGGCCTGACAAGGAAAGTGCCGCTGTCCAGGCAAAATTCCCATAATAGCACATTGTATACCCGTCTTCATTAGCCCAGTCAGAGCAGAACAGTAAGACGTTAAACCTCATTTCATTTCAGTTAGCACTTGTAATCTGGGACGTTGGGTGGCCGAATGATGTAGGCCCAGGTTTATTAGCCCCATTAAACTCCATTTCATTTCATTGGTCAAGCAGGCCACTGCAAACTTTAATTTAGCTCTACCCAAAAGGGTTAGTCGCAGAAAACAGTGTTTTGATTTTTATTTCTTGCTTAAATGTATATTTTCTTTTTCTCAGGCAAAACTATTACATCACTCGAAGCTACATGATCCTAATAGACCCCCTCCAAAGGTAAACTTATTTTTTGGTGTGTTTTGGTTTCCTACTGGCAAGGAACAGTGTCTAGTCATTTGGATGGGATGATGAAAAAAACATGGTCCCATGTCCACACTGCACGTAAAAGAACCCTTGACAGTTGAAATTCGATGAAAAGTCATTTTCCCCATCGTTCACTCCATGGTGTATGCCTGTCATAATAAAATAAAATTAAATAAAATGGGGTTTAACACCCTACTGTTTTGCTCCGACTGGGCTAATGATGACAGGCTTATGAGAGAAGTTTTGCTAGGACAGCAAAATATATTAAATTCCTACTTCCAGGGGATCTTTTATGTGCATGCCAATGTGTACACAGGACCTCGGTTTTTCGGACCATTCAAACGACTAGACAGCTTTCCTTGTCAGGCCCTTCCTCAGGCACCACTGACAAGGGGAAACCACGCCTAAAAATATCGAAGAACTTTCTAGGCCAACGAACCTGTGTGCACTGAATCCTTCAAATATAGATATACCAAATGTTAATCGATTAAATTAACGTCCCCCCCCCATTGCTTTATCTCCCCCTTTATCTCTCCCTCTCTGTTCCCCATTTCCCTTTCTTTCCCCCCTTCATCTATCCTTTTCACTCCCCCATTTGCCTATCTTTCCCCTTTATCATCCCTCTCTGTCTCCCATTTCTCTCTCTTTCCCCTCTCCAACCCCCTCTCTCTTTCTCTCCCCCTTTTCCCCATCTTTTTCATGTCTCTGTGTGTTTCTCCTCTATCTCCCTTTCTCCCCCCCCCCCTCTGACTAAATAAAAATTAGGATTGAATATATGCACCTGTTTTATTTCAGAAAATGCCAAAGAAAGGTCACCGCAAAAAGAACATAGTACAGAGATTAACAGAAGCAGTTGCCGGTAGCGATGGTTCCACTTCCACCTCCACTAAACCAATCACACACCTTGCATCTACAACTAAAGTTCCAATAAAAATCAATGCTAGGTCTGAAAGCGAATCGGTTCAAGGACAAGATAATTTCCCGAGTGATCTGCCCAGGGACACCAGTGAAACGAATAATGAAGAAAAATCACAAAGTTTAAATGATTCGGGTGTAGGTTTATACGAAGGTGAATGTAGTTCAGAAACAAATTTAAAAATATCTGATGACAAGTGTTCTCCAAATGCTGATTTACAATTATTACTCAATAAATACGAAGATTTAACAAAACAACATCTGTCATCATCTCATAACCTAAAAACATTTAAATCGTGCAATAACAATAACAACAATTTAGAGAAAAATGTTTTTCAAGATTCAACAACAACAACAATATCTGAATTGGGAGCAAACTGTGATGATGTGAAAAACGTTGAAGACATTGAGTTTGATGAATTAGCACCGGCTGAAACAGTTGATGTCTGGTTGGAATGTCTGGCACAGAATGTTATAAAGTCTGAGGAATCGATTTGTAAAAACACAGCGTCGAATGATAAAAATGTTGAAATTTGTGAAACAGGGGATGATGACTTTGAAATCTGAAAATAAATTATGTATTATATGATGTTGATGTTCTAATCTTTCGGATGGGTGTCAATTGTCACAATATTTTGGAATTAATAAGACTTCTCAACCTATGTTACCCCTTTAATTAAAAAGTCTACACTGGATCCTAATGTCTCTAACTTAAGTTTTATTTCTAAAATATTGGAGAAATGTATTGCTCAGATAAAGGTCCATCTAGATCAGTGATTGTCAACCAGTGTGCCGCGAGATCTTCCTAAGTGTGCCGCGAAATTTTGAACGGCACACTAAGAAAATGTGAAAAAATATGTGACCGCCATTGAGTATCCACTGATAAGTTCATATCTGTGTTTGTTCTTTATTTAGTTTGAGTCATTCTAAGTGTCTATGACTAGTCTCTGTCTACGGTTGTATGACGTCTGACTTACATGTACCATGTTTTTATTTTGCAAAATTCAGATATTTTTATATATATTTAGCCAGGTGTGCCGCTATTTCTTCATGTGTTTCAAGGTGTGTCGTTGGCAAAATAAGGTTGAGAACGACTGATCTAGATGATAACTATTTGTATGAACCATTTCAAAGTGCTTATAAACAATGTAACAGTACCGAAACAGCTTTAACCTGGGTTTCAAATCATATCTTAATGGAAATTGATAATAGAAAATGTACATTTTTAATTCTATTAGATTTATCTGCTGCTTTCGACACAGTGGATCCCCTTCTATTCTATACGTAGACTTCATTTTAAATTCAGTATTTGTGGCTCTGCATTAAATCTTTAAGAAAGCTATTTTGTGGGTAGAAAACAGTGTATTTTAGTTAATTGTAAATCGTCGTCTGAATCTGATTTCTCCTCTTGGTTTCCTCAAGGTTCTGTTCTTGGTCTGATTTTATTTACCCTTTATATGTCACTATTAGTTGATATTGTCAGAAAATATGGTCTCAGCTTTCATTTGTATGCCGATAATAATCAATTATATATTTCATTGACACCTAATTGTCCATCTTCTTTCAATTTATCAAAATTGCAACTTGAGAACTCTATTAGTGAAATTAGGAAAATGGATGTCAAAGAAATTTCTAAAATGAATGATGATAAAACCGAATATTTGTTATTAGGCTCAAGGCATCAATTAAGTAAATCTGCACATGATAACCCCCCCTGTTGTAATTGGTAATTGTGATATATTTTCATCTTATTCTGCCCGTAATATTGGCGCAATCTTTGATAGTTTTATGCTTATGGGAGCGCAAGTAAATAATATTTGTAAATTGTGCTATTTTAATATCAGAAATATAGGTAAAATACGTAAATTTGTAACTGTAGATTCCACTAAGTCACTTGTTAATTCTCTGGTCACTTCTCTATTAGATAACTTTAATTCACTTTTAGTTGGTTAACTCGTAGAGATAAATTACAAACAGTACAGAATACTGCAGTTAGACTTGTTACTTTAACTAAGAAATGTGCCAAATAACTCCTGTTTTATTTAATTTACACTGGTTACCTGTTAAATATCGAATTGATTTTAAGATTTTATTACTTATTTTCAAATGTTTAGATAATTTAGCTCCTGTAAGGGTGGCCCACCATAGATAAATATCTCGACAATTACACCACAGTATTTATATATACCAAGCCTTAAATCAGTTTCGCACATTTATAGTCACTAAATAAATGGTCATGTTGTACTTAAAGATACATTATGGGAGATAAGATAAAGAGATGGCAGTTCTCGCTATAATAGTTAAAAACTAGATAGTGTAAAGGTAATTTGCTGGAAATTTCAGTCAAATTGATCCACTATGAGCCGAGAAAGAAGCTGGTGAAATTTTTGCATAGTCTCGGTCATCATTACTAAAATCATTAATATAAACAGCATAGTCTCGATTATCCACTTTTATTGATTTAATTATCAATAGCCGTTAGCGGCATATAGGAATCTAATCCAGCCAACATCAAAGGCTAGCCTTGACATCGAGAGTTTATTATGGTCTGGATAAGTTAATTAATGTCTAATTGATAATTTAGATAACATTTCAGGCCTAAAGAAAGACTTGTAATAAGCAGATTTTGCTCTTGCATAATGTATGTTTAATAAGCTATGATCATTTAACCATACATCAATAATAGACTGAAAGATGGTTACAAGTGTCAGCCATAACATCCGGGCACTTTTGAGTAAAAAATAGGTTACGTGCCATTGTTTTGAAATTAGTCTCGCTTAACCAGTCTACCAACCATTCTACGTCTGACAGGCCAGGATAATCCAAACTACTTTTTTACGAAACATAACAGAAAACTGGAACAAGAAATTAAATTTAGAATGTGTGGTATAAATTGTCGTTCTCTCAATTAATCCAGTTCTGCATGTACGTGCTTTAGCCGTTGAAAAATTTGGTCTAATGCACATGTAATGGGTCAGTCTCCATGTAACTAGCGAAAACGCGCAGATGGAGAACAAGCTTTAATTGACTTACAGATAACAGTGAAAACTATTTATAGAAAAAAGAAGAAATGTAAATGCATCTGCCCGTAAATCATCAGGTATAATTTCATTTATTTATAGTTTTTATCAAAAATATCTATTATCTACCCCTTTCTACTCCTTCCCCATCCCACTCATTGAAAGTTGACATAAATGTATTAAAACATTGATTATTATTGTTTTGTTTTTACAATTAATACACTAATTAGCAGGTGAAACCATAACTACAAGATGAGGGGGTTAACCACACAGGCAAGAAATCGAAAACTAGGGGAAGGAAACCATAATGTATTGATAACATTTAGAAATAATATCAAATGATAATATCAAATGGGAGAATACAGAAATACTAGCTAAAAATTTACCAACTTGGAAAAATAGAATTCTATGAGAAGCGCTAGAAATTCAAAAACATAAGCCTAAATTAAATAGGGACTCAGGACATTTTCTCCCAAATCTTTGGGTCGATTTATTTAATTCCTATTAATGTGAAGTTTTCAATTTCTTGCCTGTACGGTTAACCATTTTCATCTCGTAATTATGGTTTCACCTGCTATATTAGTGTTTATTTGTTGCATATATATATATATTGCCATCTGTTATCCCAATAATCTCGTTTAATTATTAGTTTTATCTGCTAATTTCTAAATGTTATCAATACATTATGGTTTCCTTCCCCTAGTTTTCGATTTCTTGCCTGTGTGGTTAACCCCCTCATCTTGTAGTTATGGTTTCACCTGCTAATTAGTGTATTAATTGTTATCTATATATTCCTATCTCTCATATAGTTAATCTCTTATAATTATTAGTTTGATCTGCTAATATTTCTAATTGTTATCAATACATTACAGTCTTTCATCTTGTTAATCCTTTTGTAATTGTTTATCCATATTATTACTTCTCTCACCTTATTTATTCTTAATTAATGATTAATCTGTTACATGGTTTCCAATTTGTTAACTATATATTGCACCACATTTTTGTTATATATCATTGTCTACGATATCACCTTAGGTGGAAGTGGACGTAAAACCCCAGAAACGAACGAACGAACGAAATGTTATATATCATTATTTGCTTGATAACGATATCTGTATATGTATCGAAACGTAGCATGTTAATAAATTCAGAAGTAGTATATCCATATAAGTGTTTTTAATTTATCGATGAATTGTTTGTTTCTGTGCGTTAGATCAAAAGATCTATCATTGAGTCAAGTGGTGTGATTTTGATACCCTGCTTGTACCGGTACAAGAGAAGGAGTAGGGTCACCTGTTTAACCCCTGCGGTTTTCACTGGATCCTCCAGTTTCTCCCACTGTCAGAGACCCCTATGTGCGAGTGAATTATTGAAATAAAGATTTAACAATGTTAGTCCTGAAATGATCTTTTGAAACTTTGCATACCTATTCCTCATTTGCTAAAGATGATCCCTATTTTTGGTGATTGCCCGATCCCCAGGGCAGAGCCACACACATTTTTATACGCCCACATTTTCATGTGGAGGTATTATGCCGTCGCCCCTGTCCGTCCGTCCGTCCACAATTGTTTGTGGACTCTCTACAGGTCACAATTCTTATCCGATTTTGACGAAACTTGAAATATAGGTTTATCCCCAAAAGATCTCGGCTGCTTTCGATATTGGCATGTATCGGATCGAAACTTCATGGATTATGGCCCCTGATTGTACGAAAAATCACGTTTTTAGCTTGTGGACCCTATAGAGGTCACAATTTTTATCCGATTTTTTTGAAACTTGAAATGTAAGTTTATAACCCAAAGATCTCGGTTCCTTTCGATATTCGCGCATATCGGACCGTAACTTCCTGAATTATGGCCCCTGATTGTACGAAAAATCGCGTTTTTAGCTTGTGGACCCTATAGAGGTCATAATTTTTATCCGATTTAAAAAAACGTATTATTATATCACCGTTACACCCTAAGGCAGGTTGAGTTCAAATTTCGTGAAAATCGGCCCAAAATTGACAGACAAAATGGCCGCTGTTCGTTCTGAAATAGCGTAAAAATATGGTATATCAAGGTTGTGGACCCTATAGAGGTCACAATTTTTATCCGATTTTGTTGAAACTTGAAATGTAAGTTTATAACACAAAGATTTCAGTTCCTTTCGATATTCGCGCATATTGAATTGTAATTTCCTGAATTATGGCCCTTGATAGTAGGAAAAATCACTTTCTTGTTAGCTTGTTCTCTATCCATCTCTCGAAAATGTGGGCGTATCCTGCCTGGCAGCCGCTGGTTGCTTTGTGGATCTGTGTGTTGCCTACAAACGGGCCACAATTCTTAATACATGTCTTGGAACTTGGCTTATGTATTCCTTATAGTTTTAGGATGGCAACTGTTGATTTTGGTGCTGAGCCACGCCCAATTTTTGTACCATTTATCGTATACAGGCCCCAATTCTGAATGGATCAGCTTGGAACTTGGCAATGTTTTCCTTATGGCCTAAGGGTGGCAACTGTTGACTTTGGTGCATGTCCCAAGCCGGAATGGTTATCATAAGTTCTGTCATTGAGTCAACTGGTGTG